TGGATACTCTGTCTTTTCAACCTACTGGATTTTTTTTATTTTAAACATTATTTGATGGCCTTTGTGGCAGGGATGGAGATCCATATTTTATGTCACACACAGAGTATACATCTAGATAGATAGATATTACAGTATCTATAACAACCCAAACACACAGGATTTCAGAATTAGACATCCCCAGTTATTAATTTCATATACTCACCAGATCTGAATGCCCTGTTAAAAAACTTCACATCGCGTTCCCTCCTGATGTCATTTACGTTGAGTTACAAGAAATGCAAAACTCTCTGCAGGTTCTTTTCTTTGTTGTCCGCTCTATTCAGCTAGTAACTAGTTACTTTTATTGTGGAGTAACTCAGTTAGTAATTCAGTTACTTTTTGGGAGAAGTAACTAGTAACTATAACGAATTACTTTTTCAAAGTAACGTGCCCAACACACTCTCTTAATCAGAGCAATTAACATATGTTCTGTTGAAGAAACAGCAACATCAAATTTCAGTCAATTTAACCTCGAGATATATCCAAGCTACGGATTCATAAAGAATTGTTACCTTTAAAGCCTCCACAATGCATCTTAATGTAGGAATTAAATCATGTTATCTATATCCTCTGTCATTTTAATCATTATTATTAATGTTATTATTATCATTATTATTATTGAATTATATTATTTACAATTGAGTAATTGGAACATTGTACAAGTATTAACATATAATTATTTTAAATACATTTGCATATTTATTCCAGATCAGCTTAAGACACATTTATTTCTCAATGAATTTTCAGTAATTTAAAAGCAAATTCAATCAGCCTAATTTATTTTTCATACAAGTTATTTCGCTCTACACACATATAGATTTATTCTCCCTTGATAGTTAAATCTAAACCTTAAAGAATTAAGATTAACAAAATAAACTTAGCATTTAAATACTGACACAGTTCCTTGCTTATTTGGAGAAATAGACAATTATTGTCAAACAAACAAAATCTGTTAATTTGTTTAATCTGTTTCATTAAACTCCAAACCTTATGTAAATCCCA